GCTGATCTCCGGCATCTATTTCAGAAAGAATACATCGCGCACATCTTATACACGTTCCCCAAACTTCCGCCTGTCCATCTCCCTGTCACTACTTCTCCTCCTTCACCGCTTCCTCTATCGCTTCTTCGTCAAGTTGCGTGCCAACCTCCGTACAGACGATGCTCGACCTTTCCGGGATCGCAACCCACGGATCTCGAGAGCACTCACGTCTCGATTTGCGCCCGCAGTTGGTGCCAGTATCGCGGGGTTTGCGCTGGGGTTGTGTCCACAGAAGCAACTGCGGCTGACAGCAGCAATCTACACAGCTACTCGTAGCTTGGAGTTTCTGTTCAATGCGCTAGATGAGAAGGGGTGGTTCAAGGATCGACCTCGATGGTTCGGAAGCTGGTTGTTAATGCCAATTGCGTGCGCCCAACTCTTCCATGCTTTCATCTTCGATCGCGAGACTGCACCCAAGGTTCGTTGATCTGTCTTATACTTCGCACGGTACATACGCTGATTTATACGAACAGTGGTTTGGAAATGTCATCTTGAGGCTTTCTCCCAGCTACGTGCGCGGCCGCCCCGAGTCCTTGCCCTTGGAGATACCATGGCCGGAGAAGGAAGATGTGGTGGACTCCTTGGCCAACATTGCCAACCTACGGTGGCCGTAAGTACTAGCAATCTAGTTTAGAATCGGCCCTTTCCAACTAATGTGTCTACCAGGGCATTTGCCTCCCCTATCTTACACCCAGGAAGCCCAAACACGCTACCATCTACTCTCACATCCATCTCCCCTATCACCGGCCCTGCCCATCCAGCAATCTCCAGCCTCTCGTGTGCCTTGCTCCACCCAAACAGCCCCAGCTGCAGCACCGCCTTCTTGCACCACATCCTCCTCTTAGTCCCACCGCTCGCTCGTTTCCTAACCACCGTCACTCTAGCCCTATCTCTACGCAACATCAAGGGCCTCATGAACGAGCCCATCAGTTCCATCAACAAACTCTCCAAAAAGATCATCACCTTGACCGCCATCCTCTCAGCGTCTACTGGCTCCGCATGGGGTAGCATCTGTCTCTGGAATACCCTTCTCCCACGCTCTGCGCTTCCCGCCAAACGTTTCTTCCTTAGTGGTGCGCTCGCAGGCGTTCCGTTCGCTTTCCTCACAAACAGCCGTGGTATCTTCATGTACTTCTTCCGGGCAGCCGTGGACTCGGCCTGGAAGACAGGCGTCAAGCGCGGATTATGGAAGGGCTGGAAGGGCGGAGACTTATGTATCATTGTGCTGGCGTGGGCACTCATTGGGTCTATCCTCGAGACGAGGCCATCCGCAGTGCAAGGGAAGGGTGTGCGGAAGGCGCTGGCGTGGCTGAAGGGGGACGGCTTTGCGGATCCGGTTGAGGTGGCAGCGAAGAGGAGGGCGAGAAAAGCAGCTGCGTTGAAGGCGGGAAAAGCGGAGAATGAGCCTTGAGATACATTCGATTGTTAGCGATTCTTATAGTTCCGGTGCATTTTTCTTCAACTCTTGTTCATAGGTTCTGTTTATGCAAAGCGATGGGCGGGGTGTAATTATTTGTCGCGTACTTGATGCAAGTGCCAGAAATGCAACCATTACTGTTCCTACTATCAGCATCTCGTTCTTACCAATTCACACTGTCACGGTACTACTTTGGCCGTCACCGTAAAATTGCAAGGGCAGAAGCGGCATAGAGATAGCCCACCTAGTATTTGCCGACCTCCGCTCAGCTGGATCACCCCAAAAAGGAACCCCATGTATATATTATCAATTGCTATCATGGCGACAAGCAAAATCCAGGGCAGTCCGACAAGTAACAGTTCTTTTTGACTGGTGCAATCGCCAACACGGCGAGCCTTGAGACCGCAGTGGTTGCCTGCATACTCTAGAACTGTTGAATGTAGTCCCGAGATGCATTGTAAAGAACAAAAACAAAAAGAGATTCCATTGCGGGGAATCGAACCCCGATCTCCTGTGTGAAAGACAGGTATGATAGCCGTTACACTACAATGGATGATATTCGAGATGTCCGCGCAATTTGAAGCTCCAAGAACTGAAGCTAAACTGTCAACCAGATATCGCTGTTAATTGACCTACCCAGGCTGTTTTGACGGTATCGTCTAGAGACCAAAACCCACTGGAAATCAATTGCCGGATAGGTAGCAATATTCTCAAGGTGTCATAGTCATAGTTCCAGAGATAATCTGGTGATAAACGGATATCCGCTCCATCAAACCAGGCAGAATCAATTGAGCGCGATTGATTCCCCGAATAGATCCGGGTGATGCTGGATGGAGGGTCCAGACCCAGTCTTTTCCCCGGGAAGGGCACCAATCCCCGCTGCCCCTACCCCGGCGGGGGAAACTTGCGCCGGTGATTTCCAGAAGCGGAAGGGTTCTATCTGTGTGCGGTGAGGATGTTTTGCTTTCGTGTCTCTGACAACAATTCAAGGACTGGCAAGTGATAGTCAACTAAACCGATTTGTGGGTGGGATATTGATGGAGAAGTCATGCATCCATCCCCAACTGCATCCCCCTCATGAGGAGGTTGGTCCATTTTATCATACTCGATGCCTGGATGCCTGCTATTCTGAGTGCTGTGCTGCCTCCAGGAATCCCTTTTCCGACCGATAATCCGACCCACGGAGCCACTCTGGAGGATGATATCCGGGGTCGCAGTGGCCATCCCGGCTATCCCAGGCTGATCTCCTACTACTAGTGGCTAATCTGGAATTCATTCCCCCTGCCAACTAGACACCTGAGGAGAAGATACTTGGCAGGTCCAGCTTCTCCGCATCGCCTCCGATAGAGCTAGACCGACTCTTGCTGGAGCTTCTCGTCGTGCGGTTAAATTGCACGTCCTCGCTGTTGTCGTTCCCTCTCACTGTCCTCAATTCTCCTCACATCTTCTACAGACTTTTACACAAAACCCCCTTTCTCTAACTCAATTCCTCTTCTACACTCTTCTTCTCCTCCTTTACCATCACAATGTCTGCCAGGAAGCTTAAGGTTGGCTGTGCCGGTCTGGGCCGCATGGGCAAGCGTCATGCCCTCAACTTCCTGCAGCGTACTCCCCGTGCAGACCTCGTCGCCGTTAGCACCCCGGACGACTCGGAGCTGGAATGGGCCAGGGCGAACCTTAGTCCGTACGGAGTCACGGCCTACAAGAACTATGAGGACATGCTGAAGCACGAAGGCCTGGAGGCCGTCGTCGTTGCTTCCGCGACCGCCGTGCACGCTGAACAGGCCATCAAGGCCATTGAGGCTGGCAAGAACGTTCTCTGCGAGAAGCCCTTGTCGACCAGTGTCGAGATCGTATGTTCCCACTTCCTTGCCCTCAATGCCTTCTAGCAATGCATCTAACATGTCTCTCCTCAATAGTCCCAAACCGTCCTCGATGCAGCAGCCAAGAAGCCCGAACTGAAAGTGATGTGCGGTTTCTCCCGTCGCTTCGATGCCTCCTACCGTGACGCATTCAACAAGATGTCCGCTGGTGGAATTGGTTCTCCCTCCGTCATGCGCAGTCAGACCTGCGACAAGCTGGACCCCACCGGGTTCTTCGTCGCCTACGCCGAGTTCTCGGGTGGTATCTTCGTGGACTGCTCCATCCACGACATCGACCTGGCTCTGTGGTTCTTCGGTCAGGACAGCAAGGTCAAGTCCGTGTCCGCAGTGGGTATCACTGCCGTTGAGCCCGACCTGCGCAAGCACAACGACCGCGACAACGCCGTCGGTCTGGTGGAGTTCCACAACGGCAAGATCGCCTACTTCTACGCCTCGCGCATGATGGCCGCCGGTCAGGAAGACACCACCGAGATTATCGGTACCAAGGGTAAGCTGGCCGTGAACACCCAGCCTGCTCTGAACCTGGTCAACATCTTCGACGAGACCGGTGTCCGTCGCGAGATTCCCCAGCACTACTACGACCGCTTCGAGTACGCCTTCGTCACCGAGGCCAATGAATTCACGGCCTGCTGTCTCGAGAACACTCCTGTCCCTCTGAAGCTCGAGGGCGCCGTCCAGGCAGTCCGCATCGGCGCTGCCCTCCAAGAATCGCTGATCACAGGCGAGAAGATCTTCTTCGACGAGGCGGGCCAGCGTCTTCCCAAGGCGAGACTTTAGAGAGAGATATGATAGACACGATAGATTCCTGTTATGAGTAGTATTTCCTTCATCATTATGTTAATGAAAAGCGCGATCGCTGTTTAATTGACGCCCTCTCACCAAGTTCCATTGAGCTAAGCTGTAATCCTTCGTATATAGTTACATCCCACCTGATTACCAACTACTGCTACTAACCCCCCCACCACCCAACATCACTCCACACACACACCTCTAGTACATTCCCGACTACTAACTTACCAGTGCAAAAATTCCCCCCAAAACAAGATAAATCCAGCATTCATCCGCTGACACGACTTCTTTCACTACAGCATCACGATGCATAAATGCTTGAATCACTCAAACGAGACACGCAACAGCTCAACAACCTAGCTATCTCGAGTGCTGATTGATTCAGTAACGTAACTATTGGACTAACTGCATACATGCTACTTAAGTGCTAAGTGCTGTGCTAAATGCTGCAAGCCCCACACCCCACCACAACCTACCTTACCTACCCCGCCACTTTCACCAAAAAAAGCAAGCTCCGCCGTTGTTCCAGAGCTTCCAAAGTTGGTTTTTTACCGAGATGGGCAACATTCCCCGGAGAGAAGCCGTCTCCGGGACCTTGTTTCCGAAGTATGGCGGGAACCAATGAATTAGTCGGGGTGGTGCGTGTGGTCATGCAGATTGTAGATCATACTCATAATCTAAAAGTAGTTAGGTAGATTTGAGGTGTAGATGCTTGCTTGCTTGTTGTTCGCTTAGATCATGGTGATTGGATTGGGGTCTGGTTTCATCTCTGATCTGATCTACGTGGTGTGTTCATGTGTTTCATCCCCTGTGGGGGTTGGGGATTGGGGGTCGTGTGGTTTATGGTTTGTTTACGGAGTATGGATAAAGGATACAATTAAGATCGAGAGTTTTATTGGAAAACGAGTAGGGAATCAATCCCTGTCTCTGATTTAAAAGTGACTGCAGTAGGTCGTAGATCATCGCTTGCGTGCATGCTAGGGTGGTAAAAAGGGGAATAAGAAGCAAAGATGTTGTAAGAAGAAGCAATACATGTAATCATCCAGTCAAAATCATACAGCATATCAAATCTCTACCACTTGATCACCTTGTTGGGGAAGTATTCGTCGATCAGGTCGAGGTAGTATGGCTATTCAATATTTCTTAGTTTGATGTTATCAATGTTGGAACGAAAGGAATAGGCTTACCTTGAGTTCCTCGGGGCTGGGAACATCGTCGCTCTTGCTGTACAGATCGTATGGGTTGAACGCCTTGACAGCCTTGAACATCTCCTTGTCGTGGTCGTTCATCAACTCGTGGTACGCGCCGGCGTTGTGCCAGGGGTAGAATGAGTGGTAGCGGATCATGGCGAGGGCCTCGTCCGGAAGGGTGGACTGGTCCTTGACGACGTGGTAGAGGTATTCGTCGTGGCCCCAGGAGAGCATGACGTTGTCGAGACCGCAGCCGGGGCTGTAGATTCCGAACTTGGTGTCGTAGATGGGGTGGTTGAAGTCCTCGTTGTCCTTGAAGGACTCGCGGCCGTAGATGATGCGCTCATCGAAGCCACAGCCGACGGGGAAGGTGTCTCCGACAACATCCCACTGACCCTGGGCGTCGAAGAAGTAGAGCAGCTTGCCCAGGTCGTGGATGAGACCGGTCAGCTGCATCCAGCGGGGCTTGCCGTCGCGGCGGATGGCCTCGGCGGATTGTAGGAGGTGCTCGATCTGGGAGAGACTGGTGTCCGGGTCGGACTCGTCGATGAGAGTGTTGAGCTTCTCCATCGCCTCCCAGATAGTCATCTCAGCGCGGGTCTTGGAGTGGAACTCGTTGCGGGCCTTGAGGTTGTAGGCCACGGTCTGCTTGGTGTGCTGTTCCTTGTAGAAGTTCTTGACCCGGTCGCAGGCGTCTTCGTACTGACGGAACTTGGTCTTGTCCTTGTTCTTGTCGAACTCAGACTCTTCGTACAGACCCTTCTCCTGCTTCTTCATGTTGTCCTTGAGGACATTGACATTGTCGATGGCGTCCGACAGCTCCTCGAGAGCCTGTCCGTCACGCTTGGTGTTGAACACCGGGGATTCAGAAGCTACGGCGACTGGTGCCATTGTGACTGTGAATTCTTCTGAAGGAAGACGAAAGAAGAAAGCGTGTTGAGCTTGGGGTATCAAAAAAATATGCTCAGAGGTTTGTTGCTGGGAAGAAAACAGACTTGAGGAGCAGGAGCATAAATATCAATGTTTCACACACTAGAATGCCGAAAATGTATGGTAATTCCGAAAGACCGACGCCTGCCAGTCCTTGTGTGGATGACGTTGTATGATTCTAGAAATCCGAAGAGAATTGATCGTCGAGACCATGGCGCTGGGGTCCTGGGGAATGGGAGCATGGCTGGAGCCCGGAAAGTGGCTTCCGCAGGCAGAGAATGTCGGTGATATGCCTCTAGGGATCGCCCCCCGCCGGCGTGGAACGTGCGGCGATCTGTCCTACAGATCTGGATCCAACGGATACGCTCAGCGTTGCGGAGAAGTGAAATCATCCCATTCCAGCCCCAGTCTTGGCTGCTGCTGTGGGCGCATTTTAGGATACTGGTTTCCGACGCGGACGAACCTCGGGTTCACGCACGGCCCGTCGTCGTCCAAAGAGATTCCCTTCATTGCTAAACTTATGTCTTCTGCAATCTCTTTGACTGTATGTCGTGGCGATCGTGACAATGATCGCTGGACTTTGATCTTCCTGTCCTGATTCTCGTCACGATCTCAGCACTCCTGGGCGCACCCACGATCGCTGCAAGGTCGGATTTCAGTCTGCCAGTCGCGCATACTGAGACAGTGTCCCTGGAAAGTGGAGCTGATGGCAACGGGGTCGACGGCTATCGAACAATAAGCTTCCCGCAATTGGGGTTGCCGTCTTCTTGCTGTTGTATTGCCCTTTGCTATTCTGTGGGTGAATAATTGAGCCCAGCAGGCGATATGTGCGTGAAGCAGTCATCGTACGTTGACTGAGGGGGATGTGACTGTGGCTGTTGATGGGAGGGACTTAGAGAGAATGAAGATTGACAGACGAAGCTGGAGAGGGTCTCGGACTCATTTGGCCCGAATGGCGGGGATGCGGAGGGGCAGCGTGGGGGTCGCCCTTTTCTTCCCCTCCTCTCCCCCACCCTCTACAACAGCTTTATCCTCGTCTTTTTGTCGTCTATCTGTCTTCTTATCCTCTTCCTCACCCTCACGCAGTCTCTACATACCTTCTCACCTCCGATTCTCTTCACATATCGCCAAAATGGGTTCGACTTCGACCGTCGCAGACACTCGTTTCAAGCTGAACACCGGGGCTGAGATCCCTGCTCTCGGACTCGGTATGGTTTATCTCTGAATGACCACAAGGACTTTCTGGCTAATACCTGTGCAGGGACCTGGCAGTCAGGTCCTGGAGAGGTCGAAAAGGCCGTGGCCCATGCCATCTCCGTTGGATACAGACACATTGATACCGCCTTCGCCTACGGCAACGAAGGAGAAGTCGGCAAGGGTATCAAGGCAGCCATCGAGTCTGGAGTTGTCAAGCGAGAGGAACTCTTCGTGACCACCAAGCTCTGGAGCACATGGCACTACCGGGTGGAACAGGCTCTGGACCAGAGCTTGAAGAACCTGGGACTGGACTATGTTGACCTCTACCTGGTCCACTGGCCTGTGGCCATGAACCCTAACGGTGAGTCCTGCAGTATTCAGATCCAGTGTGATGCGCATATTGACATCGCGAAGGAAACCACCCCAACATCCCCACCCTTCCTGACGGTTCCCGCGACCTGCACCTCAACCACTCCCATATCAACACCTGGAAGGATATGGAGAAGCTTGTCGGCAGCGGAAAGACCAAGGCCATCGGTGTCTGCAACTACAGCAGACCCTACCTTGAGGACCTCCTCGCCCAAGCCACCGTGATTCCGGCCGTCAACCAGATTGAGAACCACCCCTGCTTGCCCCAGCAGGAGGCTGTTGACTTCTGCAAGGAGAAGGGCATTCACATCACCGCATACAGCCCTCTCGGCAGCACGGGTAGTCCGCTGCTGACGGCAGAGCCCATCGTCGAGGTTGCCAAGAAGAAGGGTGTTGACCCGGCCACGGTCTTGCTGAGCTGGCACAGTACGTATCTCCCATGTCAAATGCTGCGACAATCATCTCTAATTATCTCATCCGTATAGTCAGCCGTGGCTCCTCCGTCCTTGCCAAGTCCGTGAACCCCTCTCGGATTGAGGGAAACCGCAACCTGGTGGCACTGGATGATGCTGATATGGCCACCATTGCCAAGTACACGAATGACTTGGCTTCGAAGAACGCCTTCCAGCGTTTCGTCTTCCCCCCTTTCAAGCTCGACTTTGGATTCCCGGACAAGATCGGCCGTGTATAAGCTCCTGGTGAGTGGTCGACGGTCTAGGATGTTGGCAATAAAGGTATAGAAGTATAGATGGTCTCGGGAAATGTATAGCTCATAGAGCAGAGATGTCTGTGCATTTCTTCCTACTTTACTGTGCATAATGAAAATGAAACTGTTATGATATCCATCTGGCATGTCCGCCAACTCCCGTGCAGAAAAGAACAAGAACGAAAAACAAACTCCAGGGCTATTCAATGTGAGCACGTGCACACCCTCCAGTGAATCTCGCAATAGTAACGCCCTCCAGCAAGCGACAAGACCGCACAAAACACAAGAAAGTCCCTAGACGTGAAAATAAAAACCCAATATTGCTTCGCTTCACCGCTCCAGCTCTGTTTACTTCCATCGCGTGCTCCTTCATCTTCCTCCCTTCCTGTGTTATCCACCTCATCCTTCCTACCTTTCCATACCAAGCACCTTTCGTGTGTCTTCATCACCTGCAGACAGGAGCCACACAAAGCATCAAGTAGGCGTGCCACCCCTCTCTTCCACATCACCAGGGAGAGTAGGGGTGGTTCGCTACTGTTTGGCGTCTGGCGACCGACAACCAATCCACTCCCTCTCCAGGCTGACTTCTGTTGTCACCGTCACGGGTCCTTGGCCTTGCTTGCAGACACTCTTGAAGACGAGATACTCCCCGTAACCCAACTCCTTCGTCTCACTGGGGAGGTTCTTCTCATTGATCTCGCCTTTCTTGCCAAGCTCTCGCAGTGCCTGCAGCCGTCGTGATTCCCTCTCACTCATTATCGCTTGTGCGAGGTTGTTAGACAGTACGCGACGTGCACTCAAAGTCCTGAACACCTCTTGCAGATGCACGAACGGGAGGCTGATCAGGACAGCGGAGGCGACCAAGGTCTCGCGGTTTGGCTTGCTCTCAGTCGTTGTTGAGTTCGCGGAGGCAGATCCCGGCTCAGAGCCTATGGCACCAGGTCCAGTGTTCAAGCTCTCTGGAATACGGTTTGGAACATGCAGGCTTTGGGCTTGAGAGTACAAGACGAACTTGTCATCGATGCTCTCAGCGATGAACGACAACGCGGCTCTGACCAGCAATGGGGCCCAGATGTCTCGGAGCTGTCGGTTTCTGACCAGGACATGTCCGGACCGAGTATGATTGGCGCGAGGACTGCCCGGAGGAGTCTCGGTGCCCTCCAGGATAATTGAGAATCTATCCACACGGAGCCCAAAGTGGATGATTGTTTCGACAGTGCTCCAGTCGATCAGCTCCAGTGCCATTCTGATGCCTGCCTCGAGGATGCCATTGACGTGAAGGAAGGCACCAGATGCAGCGTACGAAAAGGCCAAATCGAGCATGGCTGTTCTGATCGGGAATGGGTACATGCTTTGAGATTCTTCGGTGTACCCCAGTACTGCAAGGGCTTCGGTCCTCAGCTGCTCGCCGTGGAGAAGGGGTGCCCCATACAGGTTGCGAATAGCTTGCTCGAATCCCTGTATCAAGTTGACTTGGTCGCCCAGTGTCACAGCAATTTCGCGGCACCCTTCCCGATAAAGTTGGGTCCGCAGGAGCGCGGCAACGAACGGGCTGCGAGCGATAACGGCCACCTGCACGGGGATTATGGTGGATTGGTACAAGCCATTGCTCGACGACGTCAGTTTGAAGTGAAAATCGCATAGCTCACGACTTTCGAACAACTGAATGAGATGTGTCGAAAGTGAATCCACACCCTTGCCTTTTTCATCTCCCACGCCTGGCACCCTGTTAGCTTCGAAATCCGAACAGAGTGTCATTTACACAATTAACTCACTTTTCTTTCCAATCGAAGTGTTGCGTTCAGCAACCGTACTACCGCCTTCCATACCTTGACCGACATCGCTGGGTGTCTCAGTGTCGCTCTTGGCCGACACAGTATTGAGATATGTCAAGCAGGTGCAGCAGTCGCCTTTGTGGTGCGAACAACAGCAAGACGGTCTCGGGGGACAGTTGCATCCTTGAATGGGCTTATGAACACAGCAGCTTGGATCGAAGCGGCAAGGAGCCCGCATGTGAGCCCGACAGTACTGTTGAGTTTCTCTGTCGTTAGCAGCACGATAATGGTCCTGGCTGTCAGGTTCATCGGATCGCGAGCCCGAAGTACGTACAGCTTCTTCAGAAGAATAGTCCACGACTGAGGTGAAAGGTTGCGAATTGTTGCCAGTGGCACGCATCTCACTCACTGGACTGTGCTGCGAACGGTTGACGTGCGAAAGATTGTTGACACTACCACTGTCAGGCCGTCGCTGGCTAATGGACGAAGTATCCGACTTAGCAGGCACAGATCTCTGGGACGAGCTAGCCTGAGCACTAGAGTTGCGTTCCTCTTGGATTTGGCGTTCGAGTCTTTCTTTTCTTTTCATCGCTTCCAAGATCTTCGCCTTGAGTTCAGCTGCTTCGGCGGCCGGTGCCATTCTGGCCACCGGCGAGTTGGTCACCACCGAAGAGGCAGGCTCGCCAATGCTTGTGTCCTCTCCCGCGCTGGAATAGGGTGGAGGCATATTATCACCATTCTTGACTTCTTCACCACCACCAGCAGTAGAAATGGCGCTATCAGTAGGAGCAACAACATCATCATCACGATGGTCATCGCCGTTCTCAGTCTGCTTCTGTTGTTGTCCCTCCTTGGCCACGTCACAGCCACTATCAACGACAGCAACAACAACATTATCCTCGACCGCGACCTCAACCTCAACAGCTTTGCCTTTTCCCTTGTTTTTGTTTTTCTTATTGTTACTCTTCTTCTTCGACTTACTCTTCTTGGTGGCCTTGCGCTGTTCGGTCGGTCCGTCCACTTGCGGCACGGAAGGGAGGACAGGGTCCGCAGACTTAGTCCGACGAATTTCCGGGCCCATCTCGCCGCGCTTTCGTGAGATCCAGAAGTACGTGTCGAGGTCTTCAATGACGCAGGGTAATTCGGACGTGCAGAAAGACTCGCTTCGACGTGGCATAACGACGTACACCACTAAACGCGGCATGAGCAAGAGAAAGGAAAAGGAAAGAAAGAAACAACACAACAACGAAAGATTATTCATTACTCACCTAACTCGCGTTTCCTCCTCGCCTATCGAAATAGTTTTGCAATCCAGAATCAACACAGCAAAGATTGATGGGAACTATTGTCGAACCGATTATCGATCAGCTTCTTGATGATGAGATGATGATGATGATGATCTTCTCAACAACCAAACCACTCACCTAATCCTAAGAAACCTTGACGATGATGATTCAGAATCTGACTGACTTACTTCCTCGAAGTACTATTTCTCGGAGAGATAGATATAGTCAGAGCTTGAACACACGAAACAGAAAAGAAAAGAAAAAGAGATAATCTTGTTTACATTCTTACTAATTCACTATGCACTCCAGAGAGATAGTTTACTAAATTGATCAAACAAGACAGTTTCTCTGTTACTTTGCTTTTCGTGCTTCAGAATCTCCAGCCGTATGGGTAATTCAGTTCCCTAGACGATCATGCAATAGGAGTATGACTTTTTCCCGTGGGGGTGGGTGCGGATCTGCACAGCGACTTTGGCCTTGATACTGTCGTAGAATCTATCATACTTCGTTTTTTCTCTTTCGAAAGATAGATCTCTAGTAAATCACCAAACTACATATGCGTCTCGAAAACCTACCACCCAAAAAACCAAAATCCACGAAAAGGAAGAAAAAGAATGCAATGCATGCATCTCGTATCTACATGTGAATCCTATAACGGAGATGGTGGTGAGGGTTTGCGCAGACATCGTGCAGAACAGGGCTTCCTGAAACACGTGACCCACTCCGTTCTTCGTTTCTGCACAACCTTACTATTTTTGGGTGCGTTTTGGCCTGACGATTCGTTTGTTACGAGTGAATGGAGGTGTCTGGTCTCACTGGGCTGGCTGGCTGGCTTGCTGGCTTGTTAGATTGCCTGGGTTTTGCTGGGTTGGTAGAGAGGTTTTGATTGGTTAACGTGTTGAATGCTTTTGCTGCTATAAGTGGCTGCCAGGAGTTGAAAACCTAGGGATTCGGGGATAGGCTTGCTTTTATGGATTGGGGAAAATACTACGATGGAGGATAGGAATGGTCGTCGATGAAGTAGTCATGTACTATTATTATTAGGGATAGGAAGGATATCTTTGTCAATCTTTGGATTATCTTTCAGTATTGATAGGCTAAACCTGAATTTGTGGGATATGGTATGATATGATATAGAACACAAGGAAAATCCGCTAGACGAGATATGAGAATGAATGGAAAATGAACACACACAGAATAGGAAACAATGACAGCCGGGTCCTGTCCGCTCAATATAACGCTGTTGGTATATCATGATGTATGCGAGAATTCCAAACGAGAGGTATCGAACATTAAAATGCAGAATGCTAGTTCAGGACATCGAGTAATACATCATGATCGGAGAATGGTAGGTGAATGAAGGAAGGAGATAGAGGATGAAAAGGAAAAAGGGAAATAGGGAAGGAAGGGACAAGTGAGTAAGAAAGGATTGAATGAGGTTCGTGATTTGAGGATGAGGATTAGAACATGCCTCCATCCATGGGAATCTTTGGTGGTGGATATGAAGGAACGGCTGGCGGTGCCTCAGACATCAGGTGTTGAAGCTGCTGCCGCGCCTTTGCGTTCAGGTTGCCTCCCTCGCTGGACGTTTTGCGTAGTCGGGCACGGGATCTGGGCCGCTTCTCGCCATCGTCGGAGAAATTGCTGGTTTCTTCCATCATGGCTGCGTCGAGCGATGGCGCATACTGCGACTCGTGTCTTTCACCTTTCAGGGCGCCAAGGATAGTCTGTGTGGTGGTCTGGCGGCGGCGGCGAGGGTTCATAGGGGGGACTGGAGGCGTTTCCCTGCCATTGCTCAAGCTCGCGCCGGGAGGGAGACCAACGGTCGGTACGTTCGAAGTGCAGGAGACAAATCTTGGTTCGGAGATCAGCGCCTTGGTGACTGGTCGCTTGTGGAGAGCGTTATGACCCGGAGCTCGCGGGGGAGGTGCAGTGGTAGAGCTATTGGTGGTCACCGGGGTTAACGAATGGCCTTGAGACATATCCTCCAAAGGTGGTGTGGCATTGGCAGAATAGGGGGCGATAGGCGAAGGCCGTGGGGCAGCAGCACCGATCAGGGAGGTAGTGCTCGCAGCTGGAGCTGGAGGATAAAAGGGGCGTTCGTGGTAGCTCGAGACCGCAGATCGACTGTCGCTACGGTATCTTCCAGAAGCGGCAGAGGCGGACCGATCGTACGTGACGGGTTCGCTAACTTCGGCAGAGGCACGAGTGGAAGCTGGGACAGAAGCCAGACCATGTTGGTCATAATCAGGGAACGCGTACGGCCTATGAACACCGTGAGCGACCTCTTCCAGGGTCTCCAGTCCATCTCTGTCTCGCCGCGTGCGACTCTTGGAACGACCAGAGGCATCCGAGGTCGAACGGTCCCGGCGAGAACGGAAGCTGGAGTGCGGAGATGCACCGCGGCTGCGGCTAGACTCGCGGGAATCTTCCTGGCTGCTGCGCCCGAAGACTTTGGAGCGGAAGGATCTTTCTCCAGCGATATGTGGCGAGCTGGAGTTGGAGTGCTTCGCAAAGTTGAACGATGGTCTCTCCTCTTCTTCGCGCCACATGTCGTCCGAGACCAAAGCCGGGGTGGATGCATTAGCAAGGTTGAGGCCCCTTGCACCCTTCAGATGCTGCTTCCCTGACTTGTTCTTCAGGAAGGCAAAGGCATTTCCGGGTTTGCTTGGGGTGAAATCCGGGGTCTGACGGCCTGAAACAGGGCTGGCCGACCGGCTTTCTCCCTCTGCAAATCCTCGAAGCTTCTCCTGCACTTTCCTGCGCCTCTCGGCCAACTCATTGGCAAATTCTTCGCGCTCCCTCTGTGTCTCCGTGCTACCTTCGCGTCTGTGTCTAGCAATAAGCTCGTTCTGCCAGTGTGCACTGTTCTGGGCACCCGCATGGTTCTGCAGAACCGGCTCCTCTGGGATATCGGTGTCGGTGGGCTTTGAAGGAAGGCCAGGAGAAGGAGGCGGGTAAATGGACGATCTGTCACTGTTGGATCGCAAGTGAGTACGAACGAGGCCGCTCAGACCCAGGCCGGCCGGTCCCAATGTGGGTGAATCGGGCTTCTCAGGAAGGCCATCATCATCACCGAGTCCACTCTCAATAGTTTCATTTTCCGCGATAGGCTTCAGGTCACCAAGATCCGAGTACCTGACTTCAGGCAAAGGGCTCCGGTGCTCACTAGTGGGAGTGGATGGTTTGGAGGGTGTCTCCGGCCGAAGCGCGGGGTGGATCTCGTCAGTGGCGTAGCGGGAAGCACCGCCGTCATCCTCCGAGTCACTAGGACTGGGGTTGGAGAAGAACGTGCCATTGTCATTTCTTGTGGGAGGGGAGTTGACCGCGGATCGGCTGCCTGGCCGTTGAGCTTCGCTATAGTGAGAAGATGCAGAGCCTGGTCTGGACGCATAGCTCGTGTTGGAAAGCCCTCTGGCACGGCCGGCGCGCTCTTGGGGGATAGCCTGGACAGGCAGGGGAGGTAGTCGCCCTTGAGGCGGCGCGCTTCTTCCCTGATGCATTTGCAACTGACGTCGTGTAAACTGGCTCTCATCAAACATGCTGTTGGGTTTGTTGAATAGGCCGGCTGCTGTGGCTTTCCCATGGTCTTCCGGGTTCAGAGCGGCCATCAGGGGGGCTTTATCCTCATTCTCGCTGGCGGGAGGACTCAGCGGAGGGGCACCGTACGCAGAATCTGCTTGAGTTTGCGGTTCCCTGGGATTCAATCGGGCAGACTGTTCTGGCGACCTGGGCAGCGAGGGAGGGCTGGTCGGCCGCGAATTGGTGCCGGCCGGTTCGGCAATAGTGAGTGGCTGCAGCCTGTCGCGTAAGTTCGTGGCGCTTCTAGAAAAGGCACGGTTCAGGGGAGGCAATTCTGGACCCGCTCCGCGCTGGCGGCTCAGGCTTTCTAGTCGTTGCAAGGTGGAGGTCTGCTGGTTCTGCGCTGACTGTGCCAAACCTTGTCCATACAGACGGCGGGCTTTGACCGAGCCACGCTCAGGAGCCATGTTCGGCACTGGCGGCTTAGACTGGGAGGCTTGCGTGTCCGCCGAATTTGTTTGCGACGGAGGTGCGATGAAAGATTGCTCGTCGAAAGATGTTGCCGCTGTTGATGTACGCCCATTCGAAATGGGCCCAGATGCCGTTGAGGAGAAAGTTGTTCGCTTTGTGGAACCAGCGCTCGATAGTGCATCCTCTGATTCCTGAGTCGGACTGTCCTGCGGTATGTCCTCTGTCGCCGCATTTTCGCGCTCGGCTATCTTCAGTCGTTGAAATGATGACATGGTTAAATCATGGTCATATAGCGCACGGCCCCCCATTCGTCCGGATTCTGTGTTCCCTCCTGAGGTCGTCTTGGAGGAGGGAATCTTGTACACCTTTTGTCGTCCACCGAACAAGTTATTGCCCTCAGCTCGACGAGCCCGGCTCATAATGCTGCCCTGCTGGGAAGGATCGTCGTCCGTACCATATCCATTATTGCTATCCGAGGCGAGAGAGTGAGTGCGCCCAAGGTTCATCGACGGCCGACTGCCGTCAATGGAGACCTCGTCAATGTCCGACAGGAGGCTGGGGTTGTGGCCAAAGAGGTTCAATCGCGAAGCACGCCGGGGGAAGAGCACACTGTCGTCGCTGGCTTTTCCGATCATTGATTCTGGATCGTCTTGTTCCCTCAACATGCTGAATCGTGCGGATAGTTTGGGCATCAGGAGACTGGTGCGAAAGTCGTCGGTCGAGGGCAATGCATTGGAAAGGTCGAAGTCTTGCTTTTCCTCGGGTTCCTCCTTCTTGGACTTCTTTGACAACATAGAGCTGAGGCTGACCGAGCTGGCTTCGGAGTACTCGCCATCTTCCCTCACCTTCTCCTTCTTTGTCTTGCGAAATCGGTTCATGATGGTGTGACGGCGGTGTGTAGAGAGCGACAGTCAAGGCGATCGTAGGGGGTGGAGATCCGACAGTCGAAGTTCACAGTGTAAGGGAGTGACAGCCGATCCGACACCTACACCGAAGAGCCAATCCTGGATAAGATCCAAGCCGTCAGATATGCTGAGGTTGCACAATGGAAGGGTGCTCAATGGGTCTTGAACCTACCAGGTGAGCTAGGACGAGAGAGAAATGAGCGAATGGATGGGACGAGGGTGATGGTGGTGGTGGAATAGCTCGAGGAATGGACGCTATTCCAAATTCCCGGTCATCCCCTGGGAATGCCAGTGTAACGGAGGAGAGGTTGAGCAAATTGCCAATAGTAAGCGTCGCTTGCCGGGTGGGCTGGTTTTAGGTCGATAATGCGCGAGAGAAATAATAATTGCTAGCGATGAAGATACCAAGTCCAAGAACTAAGGATAGATGCTAATATCGGTCGGATTGGACAGAAGGGGCGTCTGCATGAGCCGGGTAAGGAATGTGGCTGCACCGTCGACAGCGGAAGCGGAGTAAGTAGATTATTACTATTTGATGCTGAAGCCGGTTGGATACTATCCGGTGGAGAGTGACCCCCAAGAAATTGATTGCTGGAGTCGATAGTTCGAGGGAACGGCGTTGAAAGTGCAATTGAATAACGAATGTGGTTCCGGTAATATGGAAGAGGATGAGGGGGTGAAGGGGAAAGGAGAGACAGTGACCGAAAAGTATGCGACGCGAGAAAGCAATGCAAGAGAGAAAAGAAAAGAGAGGAAGAGAGAGAGAGCTGGAGGAAGGCGAGAGAGTAGAATGGAAAATAAAACAAAATGGGAAAAATAGAGCAACGATCGCTTTGGAAGGTATGGAAGACTAGAAAAAAAATGAAGGGATCTGGATTCCTTTCGATCGTCATTCTGGTTACCCTTTATTTTTCTTGATGGAGTTTACTGTATTGGTCTTTTTTGTCCCCAATTTTCTCATCTTCCACATCTCAGGTCCCAAAGTATTATTCCATTTTCTGTTTTCTTTTTTTCTACTGCCTGTTTAATCAAAGCCAATGATTTGACATTGACTCAATGGGCTACCACTTTTCAGACTTCTCTCCGTCCCTCACAAGCTGACGGGGGGAAGCAGAAGCGTGGAAAGTGGATTATGATTCTGAATGACTGGATTGAATTATTATTATTATTTTTATGTGGGATCGCATCATTGGGGCCCAATTGGCCAGCGCTGCGATGGTCGCTGGAACCCAAAGCGGATCGACACGAGATTCGCTGGCCAGTTTTCCAATCCCATTTCAATGTGTCTTTTTCATCTTCCGACGGCCGAATTTTCAGTGCAGCGTGGCTGTCCTTATAATGTTATTTTCTTTTTCTCTTCTTTTTCTTTACTTGTTCTTCACCGCAATTGATAACCAATCCTGTGAAGAAGTTCCTTGCAAAATAGCTACTGCTAGTTACTTCTTAACCTCGAATTTTCAGCCAGCTGGAAACTGGGGGCAGACCATATTAATTCCCCTCAGGCACCGACTCCACTTGTACTCCGGTGCCTGGATCATAACAGAACCCGAAACAGATTAAACTGTCACGAAATCCATGGATGAGTCTTGTCCATACCGTACGGTACCGCCGACCAGGACCCAATTGCCCCTTGCAGGCTCCACCAACCATGAAATGAACTGCAAATCGGATGGAGCTCTGGTCACTGGGTCCTGGTCGGGTACCTTACTTACCACTCCTATAATCCTATTACCGTATTGTCGTCCCTGGAACTGGCTGGGAAGGAGGTTACTTACTTAGATAGAGTACCTGCCAAGGTTTGTTTGTTTCTCTTCTCTTACTGATGACAACTAAACAACCACTTCTCGCCGACTTTCCTATAATTTACTACTCATGAATGCCATTTTAACTTTGGGATTGTGCAACAAACAGCAATCTTAATGTCCCTCTCTTTCATCATGACCGGAAACCCAATCTCGTTTACGGAAAGTAAAGACAACGAAAACATTTCACTTACACAATCATTTATGACCGCGTCTCACGGGATGTGGGCCGATCTGGGGCTGAGGGCTGAAGCCTAAGCCTCAAAAAAGTCCTCGCGACCTCGAGTACTACTGACTTAAGTAGTTAAGTGGCTAGTATTGCTCAGGGCACCCTTCACTTAACGCTGTGATGTGCACCCCCCTCAAACAAACTTCATTGGTGGTGTTCTGAAATCTAGTGAAGCAACTGCTGCCTTCAGGGACCCTCTTCATCAGGCAATCGGGGGGCGCTACCTTCAGAGGCAAAAAGTCTGAAGCGACCAGCTGAACTGGGACTTTCTTCCACCTCACCCTCGCGAGAATATGACCTATCTATCGGATGCTGTTTCATGCCCTTTGAACTTTATCCCAAGACCGCTAGAGGGGTTCCGGAAATTTGGACGAGCGGGACGATCATCTCGACTGCCGTCGGGTAGACTACACCATGTCACCACCATCATATTACTGGATCGATAGTAGGATTAGTCGGAGGTGTCTGTCCCCACGCTACTGTCGACGCGAGTATTTGATATCATCGGCATTAGTAGACGGTTATCGCATCGTCCTAGATAGACTCACGGACGCAATCGGAGTACATGGCCTGCAGTCCTCCTGCATGGACATGTATCCGATGCAGCTAGTCGCGATCAAAGCATACGAAGTGCTCCGCAATCTGAGCTCTCCTCCCGTGCCATACCAATGTCAAATACTGATTTAGATACTGTAAGTCCGGAGTACTCCGTGGAGCGCACCCAGTGCCATAATTGAACATGCATGAAATAGCGCATACCCCTCTTTGAGAGAGGGGGCAAACAAGAGGTCCAGCATGACTCGCTAGCCAAACAGGGCCATCAGCAAGGCAAGTTTTAGCAGCATGGGGATATAACCCTGAGGAGCACCTTAATCCGAACCGTCTCTCAAGAAAGTTCAAGCTCCGACAAGTGATAGTCCTGACTAATCACACTGGGAACCGGATTCTCGTGCGGACCAGGCGGCATGGTTCATCAGGCTTTTGGTTAAGGTGGACCGGTTTGTGAAGTTCGAGATCCAGTACGTCATCCACGGTCTCCATTGATATTCCTGGTGAACCTAAGCATTTGGTGGATGCTTAAGAGAATGGGGGATAGCAGGACAGAAAAAGTAGAGTGACCGAGTCAGGGTCACGGGTCTGGTTTCGGGAAAGAAATTGACAGCCGTTGGATGGTCGAACCTACTTTGGATTTTGATGACCAACTAGCTCTACTTTTACCTCCTCCTTACGGGTATGGTACCGCCTTTATTCGGATGGGGCTTTCCCAGGAGAGAGCAGCCTCACCCCGAAGGGAATTAAAGTCCAGTCACAGGATCAAGCCAGCAGTCAGACTAGCAGTCTGTCAGCCAGCCAGTCGTGCCCCTGACTAGACCATATTTTGGTTAGTCATTACGCCCAGTGGTACGGAAACTATACACTACTGACTGATAGTACACAGTAGAAAAGGAGGAGAGAACATTAGAATCTTCGTGAGCACACAGTGAGTATTTGCAATGAAGCTAATGGGTAAGATTTGTAGAAAGAGTCCGGTAGTGGCAGACCAGACGGGACTTGGGCCGGATTATCTCCGCTCGTTCGGTAGAACTCTGGCACAGACAAACAAACAAAGAAAGGCACAGGCACGACGTCGGTGGGTGCACTGCCATAATCATTCATCTTACTTACTTGGTTTAGCATACGCGGCATAAGATAAGAAATAATCATAACTGGAGTAAATCATATCGACTATAGTCAGCCACATCATCATGAAGTCATTAATCTCGTCCCCATCCCGCGTCTCCATCCTCTCCTGCAGCCTGTCATCTCATTCATCTAGTATAAACAAGACAAGACAAGAACCAGCAGATGCTGCCAAGGTCAAGGCACAACACCCCCATCTCTTCCCGCGCTGGAATTATCGCTAACCGGTGGTGGACCAGACCCAAGAAAGGCCCAACCAAGAATCCTCGACTCCTCCCGAGGGTTCCAGATCAGTCCTTTCGACCTTCCCTTAATTAATTCAATTTCCGAGATCCATAATGAAGAGGGGAAAGAAGAAGAGAACAGCATTTCTGACTAATCCCATTCAACCTAGGTTCCAGACATCCACTAACTTACTAACTAACAAACGAACGAACAAATAATTTCCGCTATTATGAGCGAGCATCGGCCACGGCTCGAGGGCTTTTCTCGTTAAGAAAGAAATATTGCGAGGGAGAGGAACCAATCCATCCCCGATCGACTGGGTCCTGGGGATCAAAATCGTCCGCTGCTCAAGCTTCGCGCGGAAATAACTTCTCCTTCCAACCAATCGGCCGGTGTTTCACTTCCAGCGGGGGTTAGAGATGCGAGTTCCTTTCATATCCCCAATGCCATCTACCTGGTCTTGGTCTGGAACTTTACACATAATTGAGGAGAGATGGGCTCCTGGAACATCCTAGTGTGATACGCACACCCTGATTGCCGAGTAATAACAGTCCAGCCTTGAATCCGGCTCCTGGCAAGGCTCGTCTGATCGACAACCACACCATCACCACAAATTGTTTTATCAAGGGGCATCGCAAGGCGGATCTCTATCGAACAGATGGCTGGCTGGCTGGCTGGCTGCCATGGAGATGTTTACTGCAAAGGACAATGGGGTTTTCTATCCCACACTCGCCCTTGCAGCACCTAAGACATTGTGCACGAACACAACATCGTAGGAGAAAAGTTAGAAGAGCTGCTGCCTGCAGAGCTGTGACACTTTGCGTGTGCATTGAACGCCGTAGACAAAACAGACGGTCATGCACATGACGCCATCCGACCGCGGTGTAACCAGTAACCACTGACTTACAGCATCTTCTTACAGTAACTTTAGTTAACAGCCAACAGCTCAAAAAACATCAACCCCTCTCGGCATTACTAATCCGTTCTCCGCACCGAGCCGGGCCTTAACAAAACAAGCTCCAACTCTGGAGCATCAAGCTCAAACATACCAGCTCTCAATCTTCTCTATCAGCTTTCCACTAAACCGATATAGCTCCAGCTCCATCTAACATATCAATCAATTCGACAGATCCATCACCACCATGCAAGTCCTCCTGTTAGGCGGCCACGGCAAAGTAGCCCTGCAACTGACCCCGCTTCTCCTCGCCCGCTCCTGGAACGTCACCAGCGTCATCCGCAACGCCGAGCACGAGAACGAGATCCTCGCTCTAGGCAAAGGCGCCAAAGGCAAACTGAACGTCCTCCTCTCCAGTCTCGATGATGTGAAAAGCGACGCCGATGCCAAGAACATCCTCGACCGCGTTTCCCCAGACTATGTCGTCTGGTCTGCAGGTATGTATAATGCGCCAAACCATGCAAAAAAGCCGTGGTTGGGATTGAAACATACCCACAATCCTATTAAGACAATCTGCATCATCATCCTTCACCCACCCCCTGCACACCTGCAAGCCCAGCTCATATCCACACATCACATCCAACGCCCCTCCCAATCCACTCATCCAACGGTCCCCCAAAATACACACCACCACCACCACCACCACCACCCAAACTAACCACCCCTTTTACAAAAAAACCATAGGAGCCGGCGGCAAAGGCGGACCCGCACGCACGCACGCCATCGACGAAGTAGCAGCGAAGCACTTCCTGAGCGCCTCATTTTCGCACCCGAGCGTACGCAAATTCCTCCTCGTCTCTTGGATCGGCAGCCGCCGCAAGCAACCCACCTGGCTATCGGACGACGAATGGACGGGTCTCCAGAACGTCTTCTATAACGTCCTCCCCGCATACGCCAAGGCCAAGCTCGAAGCGGACGAGTACATGACTGCGCTGGCGGCGGCGCGCAAGAAGCTTGTTGCTGCGGGGGCCGCGCAGCCCCTGCAGGCGATTAATCTGCGACCGGGGACGTTGACGGATACGCCTGCGACGAGGAAGGTGGATCTGGGGAAGACGAAGAAGGGCAGGGCCAATGTGTCGAGGGAGGATGTG